TGTTCGGTATCGACTTCGAAGGAAAAATGTCGTTCTTTTGTAAGCTGTAAACAATATAAATCGATTAATTTTGCCTTCTCGAGTTGGTTCCTATATTGGATTATTTTATTTCTTTCCCAAATTCCAATATAATTGTGACGCTATGCCCTACACCAAATACCTACATATTTGTTACTTGAAACATTTTGGTAATTCGTTTTTCAACGTTTTTATTTATTGTGAGTTAACAGTGTTATTTTTCCTGTTTCATTTGTTTTGAAGATTGTACAGATGGTGTACGGATTTCACAGCACCGTCAATGTTATGTGATTTGAAATTTACTGCAGCACATTAGAGCTTTTGATGACAGCCGCATCACGACGGCAGCTTATTTTCGATGCCATCGCAACGTTGTTGATAGCAAAATCAGACCCTGAATTACGCCGTAGGGAAGAGCTTTAATATGTGTCAACCATTATATAGTTTATGTTTACGAAGTGTTCTTGGTGAGCTTTTTAGAATTTTTGAGATTCTTATTGACCAATAAGCTGAAATGGTATGCTACTTCAGCTTCTAGCGTTCTGTCGATAATGTTATTACTATATTCTTTTCGTCTCTGGCTGTTTGAAGCCGCGCTACAATTTTTTATTATTTTTTTTGTTTCGATATGTTCTCTCACTTTTTAAAAGAACTTAAAATAGCGAAAAATCGAAAATGTTTCGCTCTTTATTTTCATGTCAAAACTGGTCGATTTCTTCTATTCTGCACTCTGCAATAAATGCTTCTTATAACCATTGAATTTAAAAATATTTTGTTTTTATTTTTTTAAATTAATACAAGTACAGTGGCTGGATTTTTATAAAATTTATAAAATTTAAAAAATTTTTCATTTGACATTTCTTTCCTTTATAAATGTTTTCATTTCAAATTTTCATAGAACAAAAAATGAGGCCCAGGAGTGACGGATTTTAACCTGCCTCACGCATGAATACACACGGCAATTTGTACTCAACACTATTCGTTTTTATCATTAACTTTCTATCATTGTTGTTCATATATAATTTTGTATCTAAATCCCTTTGCGTAGTTGCCGGTACGTACATTTTTCATTCATCATCATTCATTCAATAATTTGTAACACAGGAGCATTTTTAGGCTACGAAGAGCAATTAACAGTTCTGACACTTCCATTGCTTTCAAGAAACTTTAGTACTCGCAGTTTACTTCTATATTCTGTAGCTTAGATTCGGAGTATGACTAGAATGTCCTATCGGCGCGAAACAGCACTTCTTAACGCACCCTATAAAAACGAAAGTGCAACAAGTTTTGTTTGGTTAGATATGCTATTAATCTTGAATTCTAGCGAATCTACCCGTACGCATACAAATCATATTTCATGTAAAAACGCTGTGATTAACGTATGAACTTTTAACCATTCATCATCTTGTTGGACTTAATGGATGGGTAAGAACGTGGTCGTATGCTGATTTTTGTGTATGATCCTTAGAAATTTTGCATGTAGCAGAATGCTGAAACTCAAAAAGTCACTTCATTAAACCCCTTCCATATCATTTCCATAAATCGCATTTTAATTGTGCATATTTATAGATAGATTAAAAAGATCAAGAATGTGAATAAATGAATATAAGTATGATTATGGGCAAATGGATATGTTTTTGCATGCATTGACAATATACTGATCTGCTTTCTGGTGGAATGTTGTCGCCTCAAAGTAGAATGGCTGTTTCAGTATTAGAAACCACGCTATTTTATTAGTCGGGGAATCAAATTTGATGAAAATAAAAAGGTCAGCAGTCAACTCTGGTTTATTTAATACAAATGACCGCGAACTGCATGTTTCTAAATAGCACCAAAACAATTTCTACTAATTTTGGAGTATTAAACACCTACATAATTGATCGCCACTTATAAACCCTGCCCCAAATAAAGAGTGACAAGATATAGAGGGAGTCATGAAAGTCGTCTAACTATAGCTTACTCCCAACAAACTAGTCTACGAGAAGCATTATCGTTGTTTTTATGTTTAGATTCAACTTGAAATTAGTCGAAAGCCTAAGTATAAAAAATTAGATAATATCATATTATAGTTGTATCGAATTATTCTATCACATTATACCAAATAACAACATTAGAATTAAAACAATAATTTCCACAGCAAAATGTGCAAAAGAGAAATTCTTGTAGCCATCAAAAGGGCAATCACAATTGTATCATTAATAACCAATTAGATTCATAATTGAACAAAGCGAAGCGGAAGCAGCGTACGAAAATAAACTATATCAAATGTTTGCAATGGTTTCGTTCTGTATTTTCTCGAAGTACGGTACGAAACAAAACCGACATTAAGATAACGGGATTATTTTTTTTTTTATTTTATACTGTTTGTTTAGGTGAGTAAAAACGCAACATTGAAAATGCAACAGTCCAATACTCATTGCAAACGCTTGCAAACGTTTCCCGGTATATTATTTACTCATTACAAATAATGTACAAACTATTATTTAGGTTAGGTTAAAGGATGCGTGGTTGTGAAAACAACCACTCCACTCGGTGACCTATTGGTCCATTGTGTTCATCCTAATTTAGAGAAGAAGAAGAATAAATTAATAATAGGGAAGGAAACGTATAGTGAAGAAGAAGAAGAAGCATGCATTTGAAGATAGGAGTAGAGAAAGTAGTAGGTTTGTATCCACGGTATAATCAGCGTGTCGTCCTTAGACATTTTAGTCTTCTGGTTAACTGAAGAATGACCGCTGGCTTGGTTTCGAAGAGGGAGGACAAGTCGGCAGAATTTGCTTACCCAGTAGCATCTGTTATATCCATCCAGTCGGACTTGAAGCTTTTGGCGGTCCTAACTACAGGACACTGTAACATGACTTCCCCACACTTGGAAGTCATGGCCCTTATGTTACAATGTCCAGGGACCCAACAGAGTTTGACAAACGACTTAACCTTTTCCAGAGCATTCCTGCAATCCAGAACTGCCATAGATTTGATTGTTAAAGAATTTAGAGCCTTCAATGTCCAAAGGACTGACACAGCCACTGTCCCATTTCATTGAGTCACAGGGCACAACTAGCAGCTTGTTCCTCTACAAATAGACTTAAGGGTTTTAAGTTGAGTAGGGCATCAAGTTCGGATTGGGGTGCGCTCCTAAACGCGCCTGTAATTAGTAGCGATGCAACTCTTTGGACTTTATCAATGCTTTTGCTAAAGGTAGTTTTCCCTAAAGAGTGCCGCCAAACTAGCCCTCCATATGCTAGGATTGGCCAGACGACTGATTCATATAATCATTTGATTATATGAGACTTAGTCCCCAGCTCTTTCCTATGATTTTTTTGCAGGAGTTAAGTGCAATTAATTCCAGTTTAATTTCTGGTCTAGGACAGCACCGAGATACTTGGCTTCCGAAGTCAGGCTTAACATAACACCATCCAACATTCACTCCTTTTTGTTAATATATAGCAGTCATCATTTCGCACAGCAAACGTTTCCTAGCGATTTGTTCGCAAGCGATACAGTTCGGCAACTCAAAGGCAATCGTATTGCTTGTGTATTTCTGGCATTGAAATGTTTGCGGTTTTGTTTGGAGTACAAAACGATTGATTCGTTTGGTTTGGTTTCATTTGCTGAGCGGAAGACGCTTTGCCAACAGGTACCTTTTAGAGCACTACTTAAAACTAGTACTACAAATGTCTTGGTCATGTATCGCATGCTGTAGAAATAGTAAAGATAGAAATAATTTTAACAGGATTGTGTCGACCTTAAAATGCATTTTTAATTTTATGACGTATATTTGGCATGTTTGCATTACAGATATGGATACAGTCAATGATAATTACTGGCATGGTACAATGAATTCAAGGTAGGGCAGAACTACCATATGATTTAAATTTTTTTATTTTTCTGGCTTAATATGTCAACTTCATTTGCTTATGTGTGTGTCTTCTTTTCAATAATAAAAAATTGTTCAGAAAATATTCAAATTCTGGTGTTTTCAAAATGCTTATTGCAACGAATGTATCGACAAAATCTACAGTTTTTGTCGCGAAATAAACCATAAGAGATATATAGAACATGATATTGAAAAGAAATTTTGACCATTCATTCAGTTTTCGCGGTTTTAAATTATTTATTCAAAATCAATGCAACAAGTTGTTTGCTTTTTTGTTGTTTTGATGGTAATTCTGACATTACAAGCCAAACAGGTTGACCTCTATACTTGCAATTTTTTCAAAGTTGACCTACCTTCTCTTCATTGTACCATGATTACTGGTGTTTACATATATGCTTGAATCTTGAAGCGATTCCCTATTTTTGTTCGATTCTGTGTATGTGTGTGTTCTGTCGACAAGGAAGTGATAGTTCAAGGTGTTTACAATTAGAAATTGTCAAAATGGTGAGAGAAAAACAAACGTCACCATATAACAATAGATCTCTTTTGCACTCATCTTGGCGATAGTTAGCTCATTTCTCTTGGCATTTGTACCAGCAGAATGATCGGTACCAAATTATTGGCTTGTGCCTTTCCATTGCTTCGCCTCACCTCGCCCAGTTCTGTGCCTTTATATAACAGAAACAAAGTATTTGCTATCATCCCAATTTGCCTCTTATCGCGTAGAATGCAATCTTTGGCCAAATTGCACACCGGCACTCATACATATGCTAAGCATAATGTGCTTCGTATTTGATAAGATTTCCACGGACTTGTTAATGTTTTGTTGGAAAAATTGTGTTTAGAAACGAGGTGGCAGAGATGGCGATCTCTTTATCAGTTTTAACATCTCAGAGCAAAGCACAAGGCTTGATTGGATGTTTAAACTACTAAAAGGGTTAGTCACTATATTAACGCCGGTGGCAAGATGTTCCGTCGACAATTATCTTTCCGCCTGGAAGATTCAGATCACGATGCCTATGGCTTGAGGGTGTTGTATTTAAAAACTTCATACCCAGGACTGGCGGTATGACTTAATCGTGTGTGTGTTTGTTTTTTCTTTCAGATGAATCGTCGTTACTCGCGCGTTGAGTCCGGTGGGGATCTCAAGGACTACTTTGATAGAGGAGATATTGCTTCCCGAGAGAATCGTTGGACATTTGAGATCGCATGGGAGGTGGCTAACAAAGTTGGAGGCATTTACACTGTTATACGCTCAAAGGCCTATGTTTCGACCGAGGAAATGGGTGAACAGTTGTGTCTGATGGGTCCTTACAAGGAACACTGCGCCCGAACGGAAATGGAAGAAATTGAATTTCCACGGGGTAATCCACTGCTGGATGCAGTAAACAGTTTGCGCTCGCGTGGATACAAAATACATACCGGGCGTTGGCTTGTCGATGGTAATCCTCAACTCATTCTATTCGACATCGGTTCTGGTGCATGGAAATTAGATCAGTTCAAGTCTGAATTGTGGGACAAGTGTCATATAGGTAATGAACATAATGTGGCACAATTTAAAAGTATGTTGTCTGACATCTAAAATTATTGTAGGAGTTCCCCACCTCGATGTTGAAAGCAATGATGCCATAATATTGGGTTTCATGATCGCTGAGTATTTGGAAGAGGTGTGACAACATCATATACTGGCAATAAACTGGCATGTTACTAGTAATTGGGATTTCTTATTTTTTCCAGTTCCGAAGATGTGCCTCCGAATATTCACAGGCAAATGATTTGCAAGTGCCTCGCATCGTGGCACACTTCCATGAATGGCAAGCAGGGGTTGGTCTGATTGCGCTAAGAACTCGGCATGTTGAGATTGCTACAGTATTTACGACGCATGCTACCTTGCTGGGACGTTATTTGTGTGCCGGTAATACCGATTTTTACAATAACTTGGACAAATTTGCCGTGGATGAGGAAGCCGGCAAGCGACAGATATACCACAGATACTGTTTAGAACGTGCTGCCACCCACTTGTCACATGTCTTCACAACCGTCTCTGAGATCACGGGCTACGAGGCAGAACATTTGCTGAAACGCAAACCGGACATTATAACGCCGAATGGTCTCAATGTCAAAAAGTTCTCAGCTATTCATGAATTCCAAAACCTGCATGCCATGGCTAAGGAAAAGATCAACGAATTCGTAAGAGGCCACTTTTATGGGTAAGTGAGCAACGGAACTCCATGAAGTACATCCCAATTATATATCATTATTTTAGCCACATGGATTTCGATTTGGACAAGACATTGTACTTCTTCATAGCCGGTCGTTATGAGTTCGGCAATAAAGGTGCCGACATCTTCATTGAGTCATTGGCTCGTTTGAATGCAATGTTGAAACAGGAGAAGCCCGATACAACCGTTGTTGCGTTCCTAATCTTTCCAACCAAGACGAACAATTTTAATGTCGATTCCTTGCGAGGCCATGCCGTTGTTAAACAATTGCGTGACACAATCAATGGCGTCCAGCAAGGCATCGGCAAACGCTTGTTTGATTCATGCCTCAAGGGACACATTCCAGGTCCAGACGAGTTGCTTACAAAGGATGACCTCGTGAAAATTAAGCGGTGTATGTATGCCTTGCAGAGAGATTCAATGCCTCCAGTAACGACCCACAACATTGTAAGTCCATTGGAAGCTGAATAACTAACATTGTTCTTCATTAAATTTGGAGCATATTGCTTTTTGTTAGGTTGACGATTGGAATGATCCTGTGTTGGGAGCCATTAGACGCTGCCAACTTTTCAATACTGTTCACGACCGTGTAAAAATGGTATTCCATCCAGAGTTTTTAACTTCGACAAATCCCCTGTTTGGAATCGATTATGAAGAGTTCGTTCGTGGCTGCCATTTAGGTGTTTTCCCCTCATACTACGAACCTTGGGGCTATACTCCAGCTGAATGCACTGTGATGGGTATACCAAGCATTACAACAAATCTTTCCGGCTTTGGATGCTTCATGGAAGAACACATAAGTGATCCAAAGTCTTATGGTATTTACATTGTTGACCGCAGATATATTGGTTTAGAGAATAGCATTCAGCAATTGGCCAGCTATATGATGGACTTTTCCAGACTTAATAGAAGACAAAGAATTATACAACGAAACCGAACAGAACGTTTGAGTGATTTGCTTGATTGGAGGACACTTGGCATTGTGAGTATAAACGCATCCAGTTTGTTTTACGACCGGCACTGTAACTGTATTCTTTATTTTCCGTGCAGTACTACAGACAATCACGCGTAAAAGCTTTACAAGCCGTTTATCCTGACTATGTGGATGAAAGCTCGCTGTACAGTTCCCGAAGCAACTTGAACTTCTCAAGACCTTTTAGTGAACCTCCAAGCCCTTCGTCTTCAAGTAAGTACTTGTTGCTACTTTAGGAATAGATCGTTTTATAATCTATTATTACTGTCCAGGACACACAACTCCTGCCCCTTCGGTACATGGCTCTGACGAAGAGGACTCTGTTGATGAAGAAACCGAACTCAAGGAGTTGGGTATCAAATAATGAGACAACTTTTTCACGCCGGTTCGTTTAAGAAGCTAACATACAATCCATGACCCCTGACTAACTATACCTAGATCCGATGATCCGTTACCACTGCTCCTACTGCTTCTTTTTTGATTTATAACTTGAAGAGATGACGATCCGTATTCTAAATAATAATAATAACTACAAAGCTACGCTAAAACCTTTTTACCTCATTCAACGAACAATTTTGATGTACCCTAAACAACTAAACAACCATATACAAAAAATAATAATAATCAACAAACTGAATAGAAATATCAAAAAAAAAAAAAACAATTGCACTTAAGACATTCATTATTAGAAACGGTGTATTACGATATTAGAAAAATTAGAGAAAAATAAGAATAAACAGCAATAAAAATATTTCAAACATTATTAGTTAAATGATTTTAAATAAATATATCAATAAATTAGAAAGCATTTTTTTGTTTTTGAACCAAAGAAACAGATTAATTTTCAGATATCCCTGAGAAGAATGAAGGAAATAACAAATCATCATTTCAGCCAGCATTTGGCTCTATAAAACTTAAGGTGCTGTAGACATTACGCTATATGTTGCGCATATTATATAGCACTTACATAAATATTAATTATCAGAAAGATTACATATGTTATAGAACCATTCATTTATCATTTATTTTGGCTTTAAAATCAAACAATCATCGGTGCGTCGATAACCCAACATGTTGCATAAATTATTTTAGAAGGCGGTTCCATAACCCAGAATTCATTCAATTATTAATAATAGTACTCAAGTCAGAGAGGTCAACTCTGCAAAATACCTAGGCCCATGTCTAGGCATATATTTGCAAAGGGACTGTCATTTGTATAAGTTTAATCATGAAATCATGATTTAGCAATTATTGATGCACAGCCATCTAGACTATTTGACATTATTGTATGGTTTCAGAAAAAGTGTTGAATTTAATTCGCTGTCCAGGTTGCAAAATAAGGCCTTAAAAATTGTGGCCAATCTTCCAATCATGATAAAATGAAGAAGGTAAAGTCATGCAATCATATGTTAACTGTTTTTTTTTTTCAATATTTTTCATTTAACAACATCTCATTGTCAAAATTTATATTTATACATCCACTGTATGTACACAAATCAGATATCGGAACCTCGTCTTTTTATTTAAAAATAAATAAAAAGAGCTTTTTTCTATAGGCAAATTTTGGTTTACGTAACTCCAACAAAACGAAATGCCAAAGTAGATAATCAAAAAATATCAAGCGTTCATTCACAAAATTTGAGCAAAGTAAAATATTGTGTTTGAGAAAATTGATATTTCACACAAAAGGACCATAAATGGATAAATGATATTTCCGCCACCCCCCTTTACACTTTTATTTGAAATGGAAAATCCAAAACCGGCAACCGGACATAATCCCCACGGTCTCAATCCCCATTGCACTTATTAGGATTATAACCTTTTTTTCGGTGATAATCCCCATAATCCAAATAATAAAGTATGACCGTTTGCTGTGTGGACTACGTACAAAAATAATTAATTTTAGAAATCTTTGATTCGATTATCTGTTCCCTAGATGAAAGTGTCTGAAAGAAGAATTTTTATGCTTTTTGAACTTTTTATTTTATCTCCATCAGTTTAATAACGCAACTACAAATTTATTACTTTTTAAGATTTCAGCAGATTTTGTTGCGGCTTCAATGCACTTACGAACACCACGAATCAAAACAGCCATCGTCTTCGAAACATCCAAATGAGCCGAAGTTATGGCGACAATAGGTCTGTTGATCGCAAAAGGCACACCTGGGTGGGACACATTTATAACGGTTACAGTAACTGGGACATCCCAGTCCGTTTCCATATGCGCACCCGGAACAATCGTATCCACCTAAGGAAGAAAGAACGTTAGTCTCAGTTTAAAGCACATTTCCGAATATGAATGGAGGTCAAACCTGTCATCAGGCCACATTGGCCATTGGGTGTGTCACAGGGCGGTACAATAACAAGGTTAGGCCTGGAATACGGACGTGGCGGTCTCAAATATATCGTGCTAGCTTCGCAAAAGTCGCCACACATTTGGTTCCTTGTATGGTAACAGTGCCATCGATTGTAAGTTTTTTTGCAAGTGCGTGGGGTCACCACGGTACAACAGCGTGGAGGTGAGGTTGGAACTGTATCATCTTCACAGTCCGTAGAATTATTAGACTCTTCTTGATTGATTGTCACTGGAGCATTTACTTGAAGGTTATTGGTATAATTGATATTTATGTTCGGCCTCGAGGCCTCGGATATTGTGTTAATCTTGTTGTTTATAGTAATGTTGTGCGTAATTGGTTCGGGCAGTGAACACCTACTACCAGTCCACATTGTGCCTTCAGGACACTCTATTCGAATACATTTGCCATTCGACATGGTAGTGCCATAGGGACAATACAGAAGTTGACAGTATTCTCCTATAAGAATAGTTCCTTCGGGACAATGAGGACGTGGTGGGGTTACAGTCGTTGGTGGCTGTGTAGGCGGAATTATCGTTGGTTGCTCTGTAGTTGTTGTAGTTATTGGAAATATCGGAGGTTTTGGTGGGTTTGTTGGAGGGTACGTAGGAGTTCCGCAGTTATTGCATCCACCAGTTGGACAGTTGATTGTTTGGCAACCTGGTTGAGTGCACTGGGTTGCGCAGTTATTGCATCCACCAGTTGGACAGTTGATTGTTTGGCAACATGGCTGAGTGGACTGGGTTCCGCAGTTATTGCATCCACCAGTTGGACAGTTGGTTGTTTGGCAACATGGTTGGGTGGACTGGGTTCCGCAGTTATTGCATCCACCAGTTGGACAGTTTATTGCTTGGCTTGGCTGAACGCATTGACTATTTTGGCATTGGGTACTCGTCTGACTCTGGCAAGGATTCTGGCATGTGGTTGTAGAACTCGTCTGTGGACGAGGATGGCAACAACCCAAACAGTTGATACCGCTGCATAAGCGAACACAATGTTCATTACAGCATTGATCACCAATCAAAATATTATCTTAAAACGTAAATAATGTTTTTATTAAAAAAAAGGATTTTTTAATTCAAAACTTTTTTATATTTTCATTAATCAAAAACTATCTAAATAGGTTCGGTTCGGTATTTGGAATAAGGTAAGGTAAGGTAGAGCTACCAGCTGATTACAATTCTGCCAATTTTGTGTATGTATTTATTGTTTTGAAAAATAAAAACTAAATATGGGAAAAAAATTTAATTGCGGGGCGCGCATTAATGATATTAACCAGATTTGCCACGGAATTAAAAGATTGAACACTCAGGATCATACTTTTGAAAGAACATACAGGCATTACACACATCTTTTGCGCTATTTGACTCATTTCAAAACTGAACAAAGATTACAAAATAAATGGAAACATCTTGTTGGATATAATTTTGAATAATTCTGACAGGAATCGGGCATAGCCTCAGGGCTGTATTCCTGTATTTTTAAGAAGCTTCTACCTCCTTTTTGTACCATGGTACAATCATTTTAAAGGTTGGGAATATATATAAATCCCCTTTTACGTATAGTAGTCCTGTAATGCCGGGTGCGTTTCTAGGATATAAATCAGTTTTGCAATGGAATTGATAGATTGAACATTTTGCATCATATTTTTAAAAGAAAATCCAGGCACTTTTTTCGTTTCATTTTGAAAATGAGGAATAATATCGACTAAATGAAAATAGGTGGTTGCATATAATAAAGAAGCGGAAATAGGCTCAGGGCTGTATTTCTGCAGTTTTACGAAACTGTTTTACCCATTGTACAATAAAATCAATAAAATCAAGGTAGGGCTATGATACCATATGATTTAATTTTTTTTATTTTCTTGGCTTAATATGTCAACTTTATTTGTATATGTGTGTGTATCTTGTTCAATTATAAAAAAGTTGTTCAGAAAATATTCTAATACAGTTGTTGTAGCGAAATAAACCTTAAGAGATATATAGAACATGATTTTGAAAAGAAATTTTGACCTTTCATTCAGTTTCCGCGGTTTTCAATTATTTATTTAAAATCAATGCGGCAAGTTGTTTTATTTATTTATTTATTTTTTTTTTTTTTTTTTTTGATTGTTTTTATAGTAATTCTGACATTACAAGCCAAACAGGAAGACCTCTATACTTGCATTTTTTTTTTTCAAAATTAGCCTACCTTGTCTTCATTGTACCTTGGTTCTACCTTCTTATCGTACCATGGGTATATTATTAGGTGTGTCTGGTTACCCTAAAATTTGTAACATTTTTTACAAATTGTTACTGGAACCCGAAAGTTCTGCACAAGGTAGATCTAACAGGTAACCGCATCAGCGAATTGCTACAACAAAGCAACGTTTGTGGTCCCCTCAAATGTCAAAATTGGCATCTAAGGCGAAAAACATAGATTCGCCATGACATTTAAAGGTTGCGGCAAATTTGTTTCAACCAATCAGAAACGAGGTGTTTGTTTACATTTTATTTTGTGCGCCTCTCGTCGTAAACGAACGTCGCAATAAAAGTTTTTATTGTAAAACAAATAAGAGTAAAATAAGTATTAATTGTAGTATTGCGATATTTTTTAAACCAAGAAACTTATAATGACTATATTTTACTGGTTTAAACCGAAAGTTTTCCGGAACTGCAAATGACAAGAGTCGAATTCTTGCACTACTTCCCGTGATGTGCTTTGGGAATCTTAGATGTTGAGGCTAACTTAATTCTTAAAGCTGCACTCCATTCTAACCTCCTTCCTTCATTTTCTTTTATTTTTTTACTGGTTTCACTCTTAACTTGCTCTTAAATTATTTGAAATATTATAAAAAGGTACTTTTAGGGAAGACAACATAAATACATTTGTTGTTGCATTCATTTAGGGCGAATTCTTCATTACAACAATTTGTTTTGACATTTAATGGTGCCGTCAGCTGGGCTGATGCGATTGCCTAGTACATCTACCTTGCTCTCACTGAATGAACTGTCAAAATTTCTCTCTCCAACCGCTCTCTTTTGCAGAACTAAGGTAGATGTACTAGGTAATCGCATCAGCCCAGCTGACGGCACCATTAAATGTCAAAACAAATTGTTGTAATGAAGAATTCGCCCTAAATGAATGCAACAACAAATGTATTTATGTTGTCTTCCCTAAAAGTACCTTTTTATAATATTTCAAATAATTTAAGAGCAAGTTAAGAGTGAAACCAGTAAAAAAAATTAAAAGAAAATGAAGGAAGGAGGTTAGAATGGAGTGCAGCTTTAAGAATTAAGTTAGCCTCAACATCTAAGATTCCCAAAGCACATCACGGGAAGTAGTGCAAGAATTCCACTCTTGTCATTTGCAGTTCCGGAAAACTTTCGGTTTAAACCAGTAAAATATAGTCATTATAAGTTTCTTGGTTTAAAAAATACCGCAATACTACAATTAATACTTATTTTACTCTTATTTGCTTTACAATAAAAACTTTTATTGCGACGTTCGTTTACGACGAGAGGCGCACAAAATAAAATGTAAACAAACACCTCGTTTCTGATTGGTTGAAACAAATTTGCCGCAACCTTTAAATGTCATGGCGAATCTATGTTTTTCGCCTTAGATGCCAATTTTGACATTTGAGGGGACCACAAAAGTTGCTTTGTTGTAGCAATTCGCTGATGCGGTTACCTGTTAGATCTACCTTGAGTGAGAGTTTGCAAATTCTTGCTGGACAAATTTTTTCTTGCAACCACTTGCAACTCTTCTTCTTCTCATTCATCGACATTCAATCAGATATTTTCTATTGTTTGTTTATTTCATTTTGTGCTTTCAATTTGAAAATATGTTTTTGGAATTAGCAAGACTAATTGTTTTTGGAGAATAACTTTACAAAATGTGAAAAACATAAAAATTTATTGCTAATTTCCTTTTTATTTATAAAACTTGTAAAATTGGTGGCGCTTCCTTTCTTTTAATTCTTTTAAAGGGGAACAAATTTTCGAATTTTCCTTGCAAAAGAATTTTTTTCGAATTTTCCTTGCAAAAGAGAATAAAACTACCCATGGTAGAAGAATGCAGGTAGTCGCATCGACACAGCTGCTGGGACAATGAACTGTCAAACTAAATTTGAAATTGAAAATTTTGAATGAAAAGTTATTCAAATTCGGAAAAATTGTTGAAAAACGAATATCATAACAATCTCCGATTGACATCGTATACGAAAACATATAAAAATCTACTTATTTTTGAAAAAACATTTCACAAATTTTGACATATCAACGTTTCCAAGCGTTGATGCATATACCTGTATTATTCTACCATGAAACTACCTTAATCTCTCAGAAAGAAGCTGCTGGACAATTCCTGCTGGAAAAATAACCAGCAATTTTGAATAATATTCAAAATAATTTTGAAAATTTTTAAATTCCTTGAGATTAAAATTCAAATTTACAGCTCTTTGGGATCAAAGAAAAAAATAGGTATGGTGAAAAAGACGAGGTGTTCCATTAATTTTTCACGATTTTCTCTTAAATTAAAATATTGTTTGAAAAGTGTTAAATACACTGCCAAAACAAATTGTTTGAATAAAAAATAAATAAACGTTGAAATATGTGAAACATTTGTCAGCATTGTCTTCTTTTCAATAATTCCTCGCAAAAATAAGCTTGCCTGCCAAGAGTCTGACATCACCTTCTGTGTGACTTTATTAAATTGGTTTTGAGTCAAAACATCTGGGTTTCACTTTTGCCCTCCGTTAATTTAACTTTATAGTTTGAAAACAATAAATTATTAATTTTTTATACCCTCAGCCATATGGCTACAGAGGGTATATATAATTTGATACGGTCAAAACGTGCCTAGTCGAAATAACGGTTTTAGACCCTAGGTCTCTTTGGACCAAATCCGTTTCAGAACATTTGGAGTCGATCTAGCGATGTCCGTCCGTCCGTCTGTCTGTCTGGCTGGCTGGCTGGTGCGCACGATAACTCTCGAAGGGATTTGGTCCAAACTTGGTTCATCGTAATATTTTTGTCAAACTTAGATCGAGTTCGGAGATGGGCAATATCGGTCCACTCCTTCTGGTACCTCCCCCACAAAAGGTCGAAATTTTCAAAAAATGTATTTTTTGCACAGAAAGAAAAACGATAATCCGATTTTGCTCCAACTTTGCAAATCTGGATAATATCGGTCCACTCCAAGTACCTCCCCCACAAAAGGTCGAAATCGGCCCACTCCCTCCGGTACCTCCCCCATAAAGGGTCAAAATTTTGAGTATCCATGAAGCTTGTAAAACTCAAAATTAACATTCGATTCTATTCAGACTTGGAGCTTCTCAATATTTTCATCAACACAAGATCTGTTATAAAGATGGTAGAGATCGGATCATTTTTTCCGGTACATCTCTATGTGGTTTCAAATTTTTAAAAATAAAACGCTCAAGGAATTCGAAAAAAGCATCCAAATGCATCCATCCATCTCCTCAAATTTCCCACATACAGACATTATTTCTAACACAAGATCTGTTGTGAAGATGATATACATCTGCCAACTTATAACTGTCATAACTTGCGAAACAAGTCGGCGATTCTTTACAAGTTGCTATATCTAAATATTTCTCTTAACCAGTATTCTGATATGAATATGTAATTTGTCGGAACTTATGATTTCACATAAAATTGGATACGAATGTTCGATTTCCTTAAAATTTGGCACATACCAATATATTTTATCTGTATAAGACGATGAATGAAAATTGAATACTTCGGTCCGCTATATCTGTTACCTGACACATATTTCCATTTTCCGAAAATGTGCACATATCTCATATAAAGTATAAGAAGTAGTCGATATAGTCCAAATCTGTCACGTTCATAACTCATGGCTGGGGTTATACATCTGTCGGCAAAACCGACTGATACTATTTTACTTGTTAGTGCACATTTCATGTATGTCTCAATGAAAATTTTCGACCTTTCGTATTTTGGTAAATTTGCGAGGAGTTTTGTTCGTAGCGTAATAATGAAAATTGGAACTAAAAAATAATTCCGTCTAACGTTTTCACCTAAAGTTTTTGTGACAACTAATCGTTGTGTCGTTTGGCTTAAATTAAAATATTTTTATTGAAACCCCTTGTCGGTAGGAGCAGAATTATAATTCCCTCTATTCTTTGTGGTTCAATTGAAAATCACCTTTGTGTGTACCAGCTCTTCTTAATCTATTGTATCTCTTAGGGAAACATTTTCAAACATGTATGTGCATGCGGTTGGGTTCGGTCGTTTACAACTCAAATAGTTTGAGATGGTATTATTTTCACAAAAGAAACCTTCGCTCTCCCTTCACATGAGTGTTTTAAATAAATACTTACCCTGCCCACAGTCTCCTCTCGTGAACGCAAAGCAAGCCCCATTGAATAGAATGTCCAATCCGGAACATTGTTGGCCATTCTTGGAATACATCAGAAATTTTATGAATGTCCAGCCCGATTTGACCCCTTGAAAAGTTTGTCACTTACCGTCAACTGAATATTTAGACAACAGACAAGGAACAAGATTCCAAATATCCCTCGCCTTTTTAAATGCATTTCAAACGTACACTAAGTTCGCGTCAGACCAACAGCCAAATAAGACTGATCTCAGATCAATTGTGTATTTTTTTATATATCATGGAGAGTATGTATATTTAGAACTGTTATCAGACATGACCTTGACCCATTGTCTTCTAATGGAAGTTATCAATTGGAAAAACTTGTTTTTGTGCTCCGAATCGAGAGCAGTGTTAGTATCTCTCGTCGTTTTAAATTCATTTCAAACACACACTAAGTTCGCGTCAGACCATCAGGCAAATAAGACTGATCTCAGATCAATTGTGCTCTTTGTTATATGTCGTGGGGAGTATTCATATTTAGAACTGTTATCAGACATGACCTTGACCCGTCTTTATCTAATCGATTATTTTTGAGCTTCTTAGGGAAAAGTCGAATCGAGGATCCTGCTAGTCTGCGTCAAGCGTTGCAACATCGCGTACCAAATATAATAACATAGTCAGCGCCGTTTTGACTGCGTTAGTAATTGCTACATTTGCAGCCGGGGTGTGCGGCGGAAGCTTTGCTTTAGTATGTTTCATATAAAATTCCCCGAAAGAGGTCAAAATTATATTTTTATTATAACTTTTCCATATCTGCCAGTTTGAAGAGACGACCGCCCAGACGGCTATGTTTGAACAGTCATTGATGGCATGTGTGCGTGCTCTCCCAGTGAACGAAAGCGTATGTACTGCCCGGAGGGATCGGTCTTCGAAAATAGTCAGTGCCGCAAGATAGTTTACCCCACGGCGATTTGTACAAAGGTATGTGCCTGCAGGTCATATGTCCACCCGGCATGGTGTGGCGTGGTAAAAGGTGCCAAGAACCAGAATATCTTACCACAATAGAAAATGTGATGACTAATGAGGTGCGCAAACAACCTTCATATCTGGAAGTTAGGCTTCAACACAACGTCCCATACAGATTTCGAAACATGTAATAAAATCCGAACATTTAATCCCTAAGGATATGGGTAGGGATTCAATACCGCCCAAAGGCTCCACAGAGTATTCGGAACTCACAATGCCAACAAATGCACTTGTTAATAACAATCGTTCTGAAAAGACCATTGAATTGCAGAGCGGATGAGAAATAGGCAGTGTTGCGCCCACATTCGGGAGTTGTTTCAAAGTGTACACACCTCGTATATACAAGGTATATGAAAAAAATGGATTTGATTCAGTCGCAAGTCTAATTTATGCGACCCCAAAATATGCACTGCTCTGATGATGTACCTTAAGCCCACAGAGATTAAATACGTGCATCCAACTTTAATTATGCCCCCATTCCCCGGGCTCAACGACAACAGGTATTCACAGTCAAGTGAATTTGCAGAGCCCAATGTTCCGTACTAAGATATATTTTCTTTCCAGCTGATAATAATAATATTTCCACGACTGTTCCGGGAAAACAAAAAAAAAAAAAAAAACAGAAAATTGTTCTAGCTATTGTTACAATTATAGGTGTCCACCGGGATTTTATGATTTTATAATTTTAGAGGAATGCTGTCGCCATCGTTCTGGAAAATTCGGTTGTACACCAAAGGATGGGTGTTTATGGGACTGGTGTTGATTACTGGTCCGAAACTACATTTATTGTTGTTGAAACAACACTCGATTTTCTGTTTCGAAAATATACACTTAGTCCGGCGTGAATTGAAGAACCTGAAAATGAAATTATGGCTTAACTCTAGTTTAATTAAAACTCTTAAATTTTTTTTTAAATTTTTTTCCAGTGGTAGGTATTTTTACCCTGATCCCGGTAAAATATTTTTTGCGTGGGGGCCGAACCCGGGAACCCAGATTGTTGACGCGAAAGTCCGTGTTCAAGACCCGGACTCACTTATCCGATATAAACAATATAGGCTTCTAAAAATACATATCCAACATGTGGTCACATGGTGGGGTAGTTTTTATGCGCCGGTGTGGGATACCGAATATCTGATGGAACCGTTATATGTGCGCCATAGGAAAACGTGGACCAAGATATTCAATGTTCTGCCACCGGAGCTATTCAATGTGTTGAATAATGTAACAAAAAATCGTCAAAATGCCGAATATCGGGATGTGCCCTTATATGGAGCTAGTGCTAGAACCCAAAATTAAATACAAATACCAATTTTTAGACAAATTGGTGGAAATATGTGGCTAAAACTATTAAAATACCGAATATCGGGAGGTACCGTTATATGGAGGCTATACCAACCACCCTAGACGGAATGCAAATTACTGTGCCAAATTTTAAAGCTCTATGTTAAATAATGTGAGCTGAGATTCAGACAGACGAGCGGACGTCGTTAAATCGACTTAGAATTTTATGCTGATCATGAATACATACACTTTATGGTGTCTATGGCGAAGATAGCTACGAGTGGAATTTCCACCTTTCCAAGGTGGAGGGTTAATGAAAGACAATTACGACTACCGTTTATTGATGTAAGAACGTACGTAAGAGACCGTACGTACAAAAGCTTCTGTGAGGGAAAATGTGGACTTTATTGCATTTCGCTCGATACTTGACTTTGATATCGAATACAAAAAATCGGGAAATAGACTTCGATTTCTAGACTTATCAACAACAAAAGTCGATTTATCGATTAATCAAAAGTCGACTTCCGTATCCCTAACTCAGTGTTTAAGAAGTTGTCGGTTATGTCTGGTGTTTTTGTCCGTGGTTCCGCGCTGTGTGATTTTCTTAGTGTTTATATACGCAGTGGTTTATTTGAGGCCTGAATAGGTACATTTCGTTAAAATCTTGTATCTAACCTGACTAAATAGAAAAGATATGGGTATTTACTGAATCATTGGCCTCCTTCACGATAGGAATAAATATTTTAAGATTCTAATTGCCACACTCAGACCCGTCACTGCACCCACCGTATTCATTCCTAGGTATATACTCCGAATAGGTATATGAATCCGAATACAAATAAGTCTGTCGAAAGAGTTACAATCCATTTATTAAGTAAAAAATACCGAAATAAAATAACGCTTTCAGTTCCACAATAAATAAAATAATAAAAATACACTATTTTTTTAAGAAGTGTATGGTGTCAGATTTTCTCGGAGTCAGTTGGTAAAATGCAATAGCAACAGCAACAACACACATGAGCAACAACTACTTCTAAATTCCATCTGCTTCTTTCCAACTTCCTGTAAACCGACGAATAACTTAAAGTTTACCTAAACGTCCGATTTAGTTGCGGTAGGGAATAGAAAAATAAACGACAAACCGAATGGTGGGGTAAGTGCTAGTTGGCACCTTGTCATTGCCAGAGTGAATGGATGCCTCATAACGAACTTCACTTTGAAGAAATCAAAACCATTTTTGATGGAATAGATATAGGGGTGCGATTTATTTCGGGATGTATGTCAACATGGTTGTGCTTCCTCTCGAGCAAATTAGGGAATTCAAGTCGGTCAAATCTTCAACCCATACTGCCGACCTAATTCATCAGTTATACCGCCTACGAATTAACACACAAAAAAGGCCTATTCATTGGGTTGTTTACGATTTGTTGTTTCTGTTGGTATAGCAACACGCCAAGAAGTTGTATGAGAGCATAAAAATCAGTTCTGATGGCCCAAAGAGAGAGAGATAGGGCGCCTTTGATGGAACAACAACAAAATGTAAACAAATTGCCAAACACTCTCAATAGAGAATTTATTATTTTTTGTGTAGGTATGGGTGAACGTGCGGTTTTGAGCAGTCTTTTGGTTTGACATACAGACGGGCGGAAAGTGTGCTATGTGTTTCGCATTTTTAATCGAATTCAAATCTTTGTGAGATATGGTGAAAAAATAAAATGAAAGAAAACAAGATAAATATTGGCAGTCGCGTACTCACACACTCATAAAATACCATAAATTTTGACCGAACACAATTCACAACAATGTGCGAATGAATGGATGGAGCGAGTTTGATAACTCGCCCCCACCATTGCCGTGCCTTAAGCATCATCGTCGACGTTAAACACACTATCAACTGTGCTCTGGTGGCGTTGCAGTGTTGCCGTTGTCGATTAGATTTTAGGATGACCACATTTTATATAGGGTATTTAACGTACAAACGTTATTCAAAGTCCAATTAGACTTGACATACAACATCGTCGTAGCCATAACTGGAACTGAAAACATTTTAACTAATTAAAACTATTTATGTTATCACAATAGCAAAATGACGATTTAATAAACAACTATCAGCTATGTTTTTATGGTTACGGCCGAAAATCAGAATCAGAAATAATGACTTATATTATAACCCATAGGATTGGACACGTCTAATTGAACCCTACGCAGGCGGCAAAACTTATGTGGATTAAAAGCTCTTAATGCGCATTTAATGCTTGTCCTGGCAGACGGCCGTAACTGCATTTACGTGTCATAAGCCCACGGGTCCAATACAATATTCGCAATGCTCTCATTTTTCTTATATCTTCGTATATTTCCTTCAAATTTACAATTCGAATGTTCATCCAAAAGAATAGCAAACGGCAACTCTCTTGTTTTGTTCTGGAGTCTCAGAGAGTAACTAGGTGTTACCTTGAAGGGGCTAGCCGCTAGCGCCAAAATTACACTCAGTCGCTCTCTTGTTCTCATTTGTGGGCTAACGAGAGTGTTTTAACCCTTTGCCGACACTGCCCTGCCCGAACAATTCAACAATTAGTTCGACACACCAACGACCAAACGGTTGGTGGCAACATTATATCTTTTAGTATTCTCTTGTGAATGACTGAGAGTTGTTGTTTGTAATCGAAGTAAGCGCGAGTGTCCGTATGTAGCAGGTACCGAACGGATGGAGCAAAACATTATTAAGTGTTGCTTGTGAATGTGGGATACATACGCACGTACACACCAACAAAAAGTGTACCCATAAAAAGTAAATAAACGAGCTTCCTCCCATCCCGGCCGTGTGCTGCGACTTCTTTCGTATACTAGCATAGATGTACCCTGCGCCCTGACTGTCGGTCCGTGGTTCCGCACTCAAATGGATAAATCAAATCAAACTCCACTTATAACCCCAAGTAGAAAAAAATACACAATTACGGCGTCGATGACGGTTATGGTGTCGTTGTTGGTGGTTGACATCGGTTTATGTTGTTTGTTTGTTGTCTGAGAATTGTCGTCTTCGCTCTGAACTGTTAATGGTCGTGTGAGCTAACTTACGTCAACTAGTTGCTTTATTCTCGTAGCCTCGAATGCTAAAGATCGCGCGTGTGGTTGTGTGTGAATTTAGTTTCGTACGAATGCAAATTGTATTGATGTACGTACATACATACACGTAAATGTGAGTCTGTATGTACATCCGTACATATGAATACCGCGAGTGATATGCAAGTTCATCGGCCAATGCAATAGAGAACTATTGTTATGTTCAAGTTAATGAAATGTTCTCCCGAAAGGAAAGTGACAGTGTTTATAATATGACATATACCTAAATATATGTACCAATCAATATATGCATGTATGCATGAATAGCTCAATTTGAAAACGAAAACAAATAACTAAAATAATCGACCGAAACTGCTTCTTCAAACAACAAATCTCAATAATCGTATATCTACAATATCAACAGAGCCAAGACCTTATTGAACGCGCGTCGTGCTGTAGCAGCTGTAGGCGACGCATTTTCCCCCTGTCTTTGGATGTCATCGTAAGTTATCTCACTTCTGAAATAATGTTAAAAAAATGAACGTCTGAATAATATAAAGGGACACTTATATCATATCACAAATCCTGTTATCTAGCTTGTTGAATATCCTCCCTGGATAGGCTCGAAATTTCCCTTTGTCATAAAGCTTAAGTTCTATACATCATTTTTTGAATATGTACAATATTTTATTGTCATTAGTTTTGGTATCCAAAAATGGTCAAAGGCTTTCCAAGTCATAAATCTCACATAAATACAAGGCGAAAGGAGGCCCCCTGTTTTGGAACGGACCCTTTATTAATAAGCAGCATCCCTGGTAGCTTTGTTCTTACTCCATTATACACACTTGTATACTAGTGTTTATGCCGCTAAAGAGAAACACAATAATCGTTCTTATTGTGCGTTAACGATGTAAAGGATTTCGAAAAGTCGGTCCGTTTAAATTGTCAATTCTATTGCATATACCTGAAATAAATCTTCGTAAAGGAAGTGAACCAGGAAAAAAGATCTAATGTAAACATGCCTTTAGGGAAATTGCTGTCACATTGAAAGCTTCTTCCTCTTTTTTTCTACCAAACCATGGTACAATTGCCAAGGTAATCTCATGCTATCATACGAAAGTTTTTTATTTTTTGTCCCTTTATTGCCAAATGTATACTTTGGAGTTCCTCCTTAAGTATGGGCGTACCGCTGGTAAGAAATTTACATTTATTTTCGAACAAATCTTTTTTTTAGAGGGTATAAAAGTCAAAGAAAAATTTAATTTAAAACAGGAAACTTAAATATTAGTCTGATAAGTCATGGAAAACCTAATTATGAAATGGTTGAATTTGGGTTCGCTTGGGACAAGTATGAAGACAATATAACCCCTTGTGTTCCAAAATACTAATAGAAGATTGTCATCTCTTATTTTCAGTTAAATTGGCATTTAATTGTTTACAAGAAATTCTCAGCGTACGTTTTTGTTTAGTACTGAATCTATATAAACGAAAATAAAAACGAAAACGTTTCCTAAAATGAAGGGGTTGAAATCTTCATATGTTTAAGTCCAAGAACACATGGTACAATAAAAAGGTAAGGTAGAGCTACCAGCTGATTACAATTTTTTCTAAGCGTGTCCGACTTCTGTCAATTTTGTGTATGTATTTATTGTTTTGAACAATAAAAACAAATCATTTTCAAAATCGATGATTGGTAGAAGCGTTCATTGCGGGCGCGCATAGAAGATATTAACCATTTTTTCCATAGAATTATAAGATTGAAAAATTTGGCTCATATTTTTTGAAAGAAAATCGAGGCATTTCATCCATTTTTTTGCTATTTAACTCATTTAAAAATGAGGAATGGTAACAACTTGTTACATATAATTTTGAACATTTCTGACATGAAGCCGTTCTACCTCCTTATTGTAAAATGAGTTTACCATTATTGTTTTGCAATATGCAAAAAGTTACGCTGGATTTTCAGGATAATCCTCCTTGCATCCCAACAAATAAATGGCAACACTGTTCAGAAGTTTATGATCATAAATGAATTTCACAGCAAATTTCAGGTCATTATTCTCGCTACGGAAGAAAAATAAACGAGTTGATCTGACGCTTCAATTGGCATCCGACTGAAACAGCCTCCGCATTTGACCACATAAATTTTTGATCTATATATTGTACCAGATCTAATGTTTGCAGAAGTAGCTTTGAAGAAAACTGGCATAAAAGCAGAATTTTACAAAAGACATTATTCAAAATGTTGACCTTTTGTGTGGGAGGTACCGGAGGATTAATTATGCGATGTGCTAAATTTGGACGAAACCGTATACTCCCTTCGAGAGTTATCGTTTGCACCTGCACATAGGGCCTAAACCGTTGTTTCGATGAGTCTGATTTTCGCTCTGTCAAATGATATATACGATTCGATGTCTCTATTGTGTGAAGTCAAAATTGAGTATGTTCATGATCACAGACACGTCCGACCAATTCGAGTTGTTTGGACAGGGCGGGAGTAATGGACTTCGTTCCCTCCCTTCTGATCCATAAATTGAGTGTAAACATTAAGTGGAGAAGCTTTGCTTCTTCTCGTTGCACGTCACTCCTTCACCATTATCCCGTTACCAACTGAAAGAGGAATATTTTAAGAGCGTAAATGCCGTTCTATTGTCGCTTCTTTGGTCGCTTTCCAACGACGTGTACACCTGCTTTGTAGAAATAAATCGGTCATCGACAGCGTTTCCAATCAAGTATAATACATCCTGCGGGAAAAGTTGACACACAGCAATCACCCGACATAAAAGGACTAGGCGCTCTCCGTCAATAGAATATCCCAAACACAAGAAGTCACGTTCGTGTGATAGATTCGATTTTGCTCAAATTTGAATGTTGTCATTTCAGGACTTTTTTTGTGTTTGGCTCTTTTTAAATAGATTTCGGTTACGATGAAATATATTTCACAGTGCCACTCGCCACCGTTTACACGAGTATTAAATGAGTCAATGAATATTTTTTCGAACATGTGTGTGTGTGTCTCTACATATATTATGTGTACCTATTCGGATGTATTTTTAAATATCGGCATTTCTAAATATATTCAACTTTTCACAATGGATTCCCGTGAAAACCTGCCCCCACCATTCACTTTTAAATTAAGCACTACGTCCACATAGCGAGTATATGTTTGCATGTGTGTCACCAGCCAACCAACCAACCAATCGACCGACCAAGTGGCATCTCTCTGATTTAGAGGCCAAGCAGACGCAAGATAATGGGATGGCTGCCGAAGCGACCATCTGTTTAAATTCTATAGTCGTATCACGTGCTAACTAAGGTACTTGGTACTGTTAGGGAAACAATTTTGTAATGGTTGTTGTTTTTGTGTTTTTGGAATATTTGGCTGAAAATGCTAGGGCGTATACATGCGTAAATACATACCTTCCGACGTTCTAACGAACGTTTGTCTAGATATAATAGGGTGCCTGTTCGGAAAATCCACTCTAATGTAGATACAGTTTGTAAAGAAAATAATTTCCGCTATTTGCGGAAATCAGCTGATCCAAATGTCTAAAATAATGTTTACATAAGCCACATTAAACCCACTCGATTGACGAAATTCTGAAAACCAACCAAGTCCTCCCCACCTGAATGCTTAAATTTGACATTTTTGCATAATTCGATTTAAAAAAAAAAAACGTACATGCTTGGTGCTTGGATTTGGAAGGGCTCTTCGTTGCTTTAAAGTGGTAATAAATTGCATTGGGTATGATGATTTGAACTATAAACACTAAGTTCTAATATGCACCAGAAATTAACACGAAATACAGCTAGATTTTCTTTCTAAAACATTGACATTGATTTTGATTTTTTTTAAATAAATATATTTTAAATATAAATACTTCTGAACTTCTTGAGATTTACTATTACTTGATAGATACCATAAGGCAAAGAGGTCATATAATGTATGAAAATCCATGTTTGCCCGCAGACTACTTTTGGTACTTGCCTTAGGTGATAAATGCTGTACTATTTGAGCTGGCATAAAATTGTGTCTGTCTCTCAGAAACCAGATTTTGGTAAATAATCAATAAATAGTAATGGGTGAAGTCAGACCAAGGATATAACCACAAACCATTTTCTCAGAATACATTTTGTCAATATTTTACGTATTTATGCGTTGAGGAGACTATGATCTTGGAATTAATGATGTGTGCAAAGATAAAATGTATTTTAAGAGATAAATACTCTGTTCTAGAACTGAGAGAATGGCAAACTTTTCACTACGACAACCGATTTTCCCTTTATGATATCGAAGAAAATTGCTAAAGTAGTAGATTCTTGCAGGTGTGGAACAGAGCAAAATTGTAGGTAATGTTAACTGCATTGGTATAATTAATAATGGCAACTTTTTTGACTAATTATCGAAATGATACACCAACTTCCAGCACTAAATACATGTTGTTAATATTATTACTCAATGTGCCAAAATACCATCCCTATACTAGAAGATCCTTGCAGGTACTGGACCAGATCAACAATTAAAGATTTACACTCCATATTGACGCTCAAGAATTAACGGTGTACTAAAATAGGTATCGTAAACCCAAACATTTCTAAATATGAACGACGGCAACTTGAACGTAAGTTGTTGTCACCTAAAATCGTTTAATATTCGCTGGATGGTAACTCTATTAAGGCATTTCAATTACCTTATGTCCCTCTTCGAATGAATGATCGATGTGTTTTGCCTATGTCGGTGTAGGTACAATTCCAATTGTTTGACCATATCAATAATTGCTCTGTTCTAGATATCGAAAAAATTACAAAACTAACAGATTCTTGCAGATCCTGAAACAGATCAAATGTCTGTTTTTACGCCAAAACTGGCTGGAAACACGTCTTATGCTATCGCACAACGAATGAGACACACAGGTTAAGATCAAGAACAAGTTCCGAAAAATCAAACATTTGTATGATCTTGATCTTTGAAACGTTGTCTTGTAGCGACATTCACATACATGTGTGTAGGTAGGTGCATTTGAGCAAGTGAGTCGAGTCGCTGTGTGCTTCAAACACGAAAGACAATCAATTAATGAATATTCACGACATTGTGGGTTGAAAACACGTATTAAGTGGCAATGGAGTGGATACCGATGAATGGCGAGTTAGGTAAAAACATGGGCAAATATTTCAAAACTCTTCTACATTCATTCGGTCAAAATTGGGAAATCTAATCAGAATTTTCGAATTTTTTATATCACTGAGGATTAAACGTACTACAAGTGGGATGAAAATAATTGCTTATTCCTTTGACGTCGGAAAACGAAGAAAGAACAAAATAATAAAAAGAAGTCAAGGAAGTTGGTGGAAGAAAACAGCAACATCAGCAGAAATGGTTCGAAAAGTAAAGAAGCGACTTGAATCGAAACCCGTGGCTCAATATTCCATTCGGCAAATATTGAAAAATGACCTCGGGTTAAAGGCATTGGAATTCAAAAAAGTGCAAGAACTTACACCACA